TGTGGTGTAGCTTCTCATCTCGTCGCCTCGCCCTCACACCTCGACGCCGAGGGTGGCTGCCACGCCGACCCTCCACGACCATCTCGGTTATTGTTGCGGTTTACCAAGAGAGAGGGAAGCCCTCCGACGACGGAGTTAATTGGGCGACGATTGTGCCGCCACCGCCGCCGTTGCTTCTCCTTTCTCTCCTCCGTGATACACGCGCGCGTTGACCTCTCGCGCCGACACGACCCTGACCGAGGAGGGGAACAAAGGTCGCGCGGATAGCGCTTCCTTCGAGAAATCACGAAGGTGTATATATATATATATAATGAGTTAAGGTCGATGGTTAAAGCGACTCGTTTTGTTACTTTTTGGAATTTTCAGGTTTGGTGAATGTTCGAAACGAGATTGGAGGGAAAGAAGCGTTTTATTAACGCGAGTTATAATTTAACGCGAGTTTATATTGTGCGAAACGGCAAGGGAGAAAGGGATAATAAATTTTAAACGAAGTGTTCATTTTATGAACATTTGTATTAGGTTTTCGAGGTGAATTCGAAGATATAAGAAGATTTACGTAATATCTTTTTTTCTCCTTTTTACGCGTCAAGATAAAGAGGAGATTGTTACCTGCTAATTGATACACATTAGGTAACGCGGTATTGAACGAAGGAGAAAGAAATATGCTCGTTTCAAAACAAAGCTTCGTTTTTCCTATTGTATTCCGATTTAATTGGTATAATCTCGTGATTAAAGAAGGCTATATAGTATTGCTCGAAACTCCTACGCATTGTCCTTAGAGCGTTACAAACAGTGACGTAACGCCATTAGCAATGCTTCTTTTGTGCCTGATCGACCAACTCCGGTGGAAATAACGTATTGTATTTTTTTTCTTCCTTTTTTTTTTTTTTTTTACGATTAAGAGAATAATGTGCGGCTACGGCACAGAAATGAAATGATGATAAAAAAAAAAAGAAAAAAGAAGAATGAAATGTTCACAATCGTTTGACGTAATTAAGATAATTTTTCGAAGCGGCGATTACTTCGTCGTTCGATTCACGTAGGATAGAGTTTCACGTAACATCGGGAGGGGGGGAAGGGGGCGTTAGAAGAGACGAGATGGAAGGGAAATGGATTGAATTTTTGTTCGACGGTTCTGCAACGGAACTCCTATTACGGCCCATTCAAATCGGCGATAACGGTGGGCCAATAGTCACGTCACGCCGATCAATACTATACGAAGCCCTTTCATTGATTTCACCCGTAATTGCATTTACTTCTGGGCGTTTTCGCCCAGAAACCTAGTGACATTGACGTTCACCTTCAGGCTATTCATCTATCGCCCACCACGCGCTCCTGCCACCCTTGTAAGTGAAGTCAATGAAACTGACCTTTCTCATGTAAATGCGGCGTGATTGGCAGCGCGTGTCCCGTCACCGGAGAATTAAAGCTTTAAAGATAAACGAGACGTGAACCGCATGTAGCATTCCCCGCCCTGGGGAAAAAAGCGACGGTGATGGAATTTTTTCGTCCTATCAAATGGATTAAATGAGATTTTTTTCTTTTTTCTTTTTTTTTTAATTAAATTAAACGAGATATTTGATAAAGATTATTTAATCTTTACCTTAATTATTACCCTCGAAGCACGGAATGGAGTGTAAGAGTAATTTTTAAGTCGTGTGTAGAAATGAATGTGAAAATAAACGTGGAAATGATTTTATGTTTTAAAGAAGAATGATCATTGAATTTTTAAGATAATTATAAATGTAAAAGCGATCGATCATTCATCATATCTCGATATTTTATAATCGAGATGATTGAATATACTTCGAGAAATTGGATATATCAATAAGTTGAATGATGTATGAAGTTTCGTTGAGTGTGTTTTAAGTTTACGCGATATTATATTATAGGTTTTATCTCTTTTTTTATTCGCGGGCTGTCACAATAAACTTTACGTTCGGATAAATACGCCAAAGAATTAATATAATTTATACGTATAATTGAT